CTGAGTTAGATGCTCTACCGATTGAGCAACCCTGGTCTGAAGCAGCGTGTTGTAAATCCCCGGTTCAACAGAATATACGAATAAAACAAGAATTGTCCTCGAGCGATGGCAAAACGCCACATTTTGCTTAATGTACAGACGGTAGACAAATTAGAAGAGACGGCGAATCTGCTTTCGCGCTCGGTATTATAGCAATCGTCCCAGGATCATTTCGCAGATGAAACGAACTAAACTAGTTCTGGACTTATGGGCATATAAATTCATTTGTCATCCTGGTACAGCGTTGGTAATTTAATCGTCAGGATTCGACTACCGCCTTCCCACGATCAATCAGATGGGCAAAAATCAGACCAGGGCTTCCTACCTGCTACCTAGGCATGATTGATTCTTGTGCTCTACCGTATTAGCATGCTTACTGCTGATAAGCCGCATCTCCTAGCTTCACTGTTCGCTATCACTTGTGAAACGAATGCTACATTATTTCAGAGAAAATCGTGGAGCCTCTTCACGATAAGTACCGGAAACCGTTCTATCACTACCGTTTCCGTAGAGCGCCGAGCATAGACGAGTGTAGCGTCAACGACAAGGTGTGTTACCACGAAGCGCAATGGCAGTTTCGGCTGGACAAGTAAAACGCTTTGCGATTTTTTTTTTATATTAGCTGAGTGAACATGCACGCTTGTTTGAGGTTAGTCGATGCGTACATCCTGGACATTTTGCGTTTTCGACTACAAAATTGCCGGGACTTCAACAAAAGCGACTTCACGAAATGCGTCAAATGCCTGGATGACTTTGAAGAGGCGGACCTCAATTATTATATAAAGTGTAAGTTGCTTTACTACATATTGGAGTGTATCTCCTTCTTATCAAAAACAACTGCCGAATAAGGACTCATAGGTACGATGGTCAGTAATCTCAATAGTTATAGTTTTTTTGGATTGTAGGACCCTATCAAGCAATGGGCAGAGATATCCCTTCGATAGTTTATTTAGAAGTTATGCACCGCAAGCAGCAGACAGGCGTAGGAAAATCTGTTAACTGTCATAAAGATCAACCGGGTATATTTTCTGACTGTTTTAGTAGACAAGACATTCTTTCAGACAAGAAAACATTAGCTGCGCATTATGATTCATCAGCGCAGAACGAAAATGAATTTGGTTTTGTCATGCCCGTAGTTTAAACACTGTTCCTCGGTAGCTTTATTTTAGTGAAATGGGTAGGAGAAAAAAAGTTTAGTTTAATCTAGTGATTGGGTTATTGACACCTCTTACCCATTTTAAATGTGAACATTCAGGGATTAACGATTTCGTATAAAGTTTAAACACTAATGCTGCAGCAGCTGAGAGGCACGGCACGTCTTTACATTGGTGAGTGAATAGGGAGTAGGGCTTTCCTCCCATTACTAACCAAAAATGTCTTTTGGAAAGAAAGATATTACCAGCGTTTAAATTACTTAAGATTTTGCCTTTAAATCCAGTTTTGTTGATATAAAACGGAGAGAACGACAAAACGTTACGTTCAGCGTGTTTGTGTAAAACAGTGTTATTATAATTTCAGACGGCGAAATGGGCTATCAGGGCGACGCACTGATGGCGTACATGAAGCAAAAGCACCGCATGGTGTGGGAACGGCGTCATCCGGAGATCATGAAGGCACGCGAGGAAGAGTATCAAGAGCACAAGCGAGAGTTGGCTGAGGGAAAATACGATCACTCGTTCTGGAGACCGAGTCAGCTATGGCATTTCAAAGAGTATTTCGTGAGCGTGTTCGCACCGCACAATTTCGACCCTTTGCTTCGCGGCAAGACGAAACCGGTGTCGCTGAACCCGGAGTACTACAAGGAACAAAAAGAGGCGGAGGAACGCGGCGAGAAAGTAGATCTCGGCAGCCCTTTAGCCAGTTGGCCTTAGTGGGCATGGGTCGTTGGCAATGGGTGCGTTCGCTCTTGTGATGTTGACCAGAAGAAGTGAGTCGACGCAGGTAGGAACGGGCTGTAAATTTCGGTTTTTGTGACTTTTTGCGATAGACAATTAGATACAGTGCCGCAATGATAAATTTTGTAATTGTATTTATTCCACGAAAATTTCATGTGCCCATCAAATAGAAGTGTCCATTTTTGTTCGTGCAGTAATGC